GTGGGTAGAGGGTGGGGATGAGGGAGTGGAGTGTGTAGGAGGAAGTGGAGTGTGTAGGAGAAGTGGAGTGGATAGGAGGAAGTGGAGTGGGTAGGAGGGGGTGGCGTGGGTAGGAGGAAGTGGAGTGGGTAGGAGGAAGTGTCGTGGGTAGAGGAAGTGGAGTGGGTAGGAGGAAGTGGATGGGTAGGAGGGAGTTTGCGTGGGTAGGAGGAAGTGGAGTGGGTGAGAGGGAGTCGAGTGGGTAGGAAAAACTGGTGTGGATAGGAGGAAGTGGAGTGGGTAGGAGGGGGTGGCGTGGTAGGAGGAAGTGGAGTGGGTAGGAGAAGTGGCATGGGTAGGAGGAAGTGAGTGGGGTAGAGGAAGTGGAGTGGGTAGGAGGGAATGCGAGGGTAGGAGGAAGTGGAGTGGGTAGGAGGAAGTGGAGTGGGTAGGAGGAAGTGGAGTGGGCAAAAGGGAGTGGAGTGGGTAGGAGGAAGTGGAGTGGGTTTGGAGGAAGTGGAGAGGGGAGGAGGAAGTGGAGCTGGGAGGAAGAAGTGGAGTGGGGAAGAGGAAGTGGAGTGGGTAGAAGGAAATGGAGTTAGTAGGAGGGAGTGGAGTGGTAGGAGGAAGTGGAGGGGTAGGAGGAAGTGGAGTGGATAGGAAGAAGTGGAGTGGTAGGAGGAAGTGTATTGGGTAGGAGGAAGTGGAGTGGGTAGGAAGAAGTGGAGTGGGTAGGAGGAAATGGAGTGGTAGGAAGAAGTGGAGTGGGTAGGAGGCAGTGGAGTGGTAGGAAGAAGTGAAGTGGGTAGGAGAAGTGGAGTGGGTAGGAGGAAGGAAAATGGTAGGAAGAAGTGGAGTGGTAGGAAGAAGTGGAGTGGGTAGGAGGAAGTGGAGTGGTAGGAAGAAGTGGAGTGGGTAGGAGGAAGTGGAGTGGGTAGGAGGAAGTGGAGTGGGTAGGAGGAAGGAGATTGGTAGGAAGAAGTGGAGTGGTAGAAGAAGTGGAGTGGGTAGGAGGAAGTGGAGTGGTAGGAAGAAGTGGAGTGGGTAGGAGGGTGAGGAAAATTTTGATTGACAATAAACTAATGGAAAATGTCGTGTTTTGATAGAAAAAATTAAAACCTGTAGTAAAAGATTGAGAGAGAGAGAGAGAGAGAGAGAGAGAGAGAGAGAGAGAGAGAGAGAGAGAGAGAGAGAGAGAGAGAGAGAGAGAGAGAGAGAGAGAGAGAGAGAGAGAGAGAAAGAGAGAGAGAGAAAGAGAGAGAGAGAGAGAAGAACCATGAAGAACCATGTTGTAAATCTTGCAAACAAGGCAGCCAGGAAGCTTACAGCACTTCGCCGTATCTCGCATCTGCTTGACAGTAGGGGTTGCAAGATACTGTACGAGGCACAAGTACGCTCACACCTTGAGTATGCTCCACTTTCTTGGTTTGCCTGTCCCCCCTCTCATCTGCGACTGCTTGACAGAGTAGAGAACAGAGCAAGACGTCTCATCTCTCGCCTGGACCCATCCTGGATGGATCTGTCATTTCAGCAGAGCCTTCAACATAGGAGGGATGTGGGTGGCCTTACTGTTATGTACAAGGCCAATATTGTCAAAATACCACACTTGGATCCACTTCGAGGACAGCGCGAAACAAGCTTTTATGCCACAAGACGGGCAGAAAGCAGCAACTTCACTCTGGCTGTACCCTTCTCCAGAACATCACTCCATCTGAGATCATACATACCCAGGATGACTCGAGTATGGAACACATTCGTTCAGCATAATGTCAACGAGATAACGTCAGTTGATCAAATGAAAATGCTGGCCCACAGATGGCTCCAACTTCATCCTGTTCCCTACTTGTATGTCTCATAACAATAAAAATGCTTTCAAATGAGCTGATGTAGGTAACAGCTCTTAGCTTGTCAATAAAGTTAGGAATCCTTAACCTGTAAATAGCTTGTCAATAAAGCTAGGATCCTTAACCTTGTCAAACCATGTGTAAAAAAAAAAAAAAAAAAAAAAAAAAAAAAAAAAAAGAGAGAGAGAGAGAGAGAGAGAGAGAGGAGAGAGAGAGAGGAGAGAGAGAGAGAGAGAGAAGTAGGAGGGAGAAAGGTAAACAGGAAGGAGAATAGAGAGGGAGGTAGAGAGGGATTGTAGAAGGAGCGAATAAGAGAAGAAGGGAGGGAGTGAATAAGAGAAAGAGGGAGTGAGAGAGGGAAGAAGGGTGGGAGGGAATGAAGGAAGGAGGAAAGGAGGGAGGATGGAAGGGAGTAAGGGAGGGAAGGAAGAAGTTAGGGAGACAGGGAAATAAGGAAGAGAAGGAAGGAGGGAGCAAGGGATGGAGGGAAGAATGGAAAGAGGAAGGAAAAGAGGGAGGGAAGAAAGGTGGGAGGAAGGAAGGGAGGGAGGGAGAGAAGGAAGGAGGGAGGGAGAAAGGGAGAGAGATAGGGAGGTAGTGATGGAAGGCAGCACCATCATATCTGAGGTTGTCATCACAGTGCCTCCACCTCACACCTCCCTAGATCACTACTCTGCCATTTTTTCTCCCTCATCTTTTACTTTTGATAATAACCTGAAGGAATTTTTGTGGAATATCTTAATGGAAATTGTTTATGAAGAGGTTTACGATCGTGCGTGCACACGCGCGCGAGTGTGTGTGTGTGTGTGTGTGTGTGTGTGTGTGTGTGTGTGTGTGTGTGTGTGTGTGTGTATGTCTTATCTTCTTTAGTTCTAGTTTATAATTCACTATTATTCACAACAGCTTCCACTGTCCTGCAAATCTTTTAACTTCTGAGAACGATTTTTTTTAAATTCAACGCTTTAATGCTGCATTTGCATATTCCAATTTCGATTTTGCATTGGCCGAAAAAATTATTTTTTTTTCCTATTCGCATATTTCAAGGATATTTTGAGTTTTGCCTTTGATGAAGGATTTTGGTTCGTGTTGCGTCCTGGCTAGTCTATGTTATTATCATCGTCTTTCTTCATTCTCTGTTCTGAGTTTTTCAGTGGATGTAGTGTTGTTTTTCTTTACCCCTTGTTTATAGCCTATACTAACCTCTCTTCGTCTCTCTTTTCATTTGATGCTTATATCTTCCAACAATGCATTAATGTGGTACTATTCTTCTTTTCGCCTTGTTTACAGCAGACACTAACCTCTCTCTCTCTCTCTCTCTCGTCCTCTCTCCTCTCTCTCTCTCTCTCTCTCTCCTCCTCTCTCTCTCTCTCTCTCTCTCTTCTCTCTCGTCTCCTCTCCCCTCTCTCCCCTCTCTCTCTCTCTCTTTCTCTTCATTTAATACTTAAATCTCTCAGCAATACAGTGATGTAGTGTTACTCCTGCTTTACTGATATTTATAGCCTCTCCAAATTCCTCCATCCGCTCGCTGTTTCCAAGAGTCTAACACCGTTGAACATTTCAATCGCCAGATATTTTTCTGAATTCAGTTCCTTTAATAATATTGCTAGGTTTTATTGTTTTATTTTCCAACTCTGAACATAAGTTTTCTCCTCAAGGAAGGTTCCTTGATGTTGGTGAGGGGCTCTTGATTTAGGGAATTGGATCTGTGCTCCAGTTCCCCGAATTAAGCCTGAATGCCTTCCACATATCCCCCCCCCAGGCGCTGTATAATCCTCCGGGTTTAGCGCTTCCCCCTTGATTATAATAATAATAATAATGAACATAAGTTTTGCATCATCTAAAATTGTTTATGTAGTTCATTAGGAACCAAGAAAATATTTCTTTTTAAATTTGCACCTCATGACTAAGAGAAAATAGCAGACTATCCTAAGAAATGGTAATTCCCAAGTGATAGTAACTCCAGCTCTGCTGGAACGAAGCCATTGAAGCTGCCGTAGCAACCTGATGAATTTGCTGTGTCCTTTGAATGTGAGATCTTCTGACATCGTCATTCCCAAGTCTTGCACATGGAATATTCGCTCTACTGGATGTTGGTAAACCTCTTCTGCAGTACCTGGCGATATCTTCCAGCTCATCCTGACGGTTTTCAACACCTTGTATGAGCCCCGTTCTGTGTAATGTTCTATCACCTGTGCAGCTGTCACATAGAATAGTGCAGCAGCACACTCCTTATGTATCCAGTTTTATTAACATGATTCAAAAAAGTCTTACTTCCTGTGAATAATGTTTATGTAGGAATGTACAAACCATCAGTTTTCCTAAGTCATTTTCACCACTATGAATTCTTGTCTCATCCCACCACTGATACTGACCAATGGCAATCATTTTCCTCACATAATGAGTCGCATTTCATCACAAAGGAAGTCTCTCATCCACTGTATTAATCTGACGTTGTCTTCTGTATTTGGTAGTTTCCACATTAGTGTGAGAGGTGTGAGATAAATCTCTGAATCTTACTGAATAGGTACGAGGCAAGTGGCAGTGTTTCTCCTCGAGTATGTGTTTTCTCTTTGTTTTTTTCTCCTTTGTTCTCCTTCTTTTTCCCTCCAACTAGTCCTCCTTCTTCTCCTACTCCTCATCCTCCTCTTCTCCCCCCTTTCTCCTTCCTCCTTCCCCCTTCCTCCTCCTCCTTTCCCTTGTCTTGAATGTCGCAGTTGCTGTTACACAGCAACTGCGAGGAAATCTTCAATACATTTATGCGTTAGTGGCGTCTCTTGGTCTCCAAGAAAGAACGAGAACACGCCCAGCATTGCTGCACTTGCAATTTCTGTGTGTGTGTGTGTGTGTGTGTGTGTGTGTGTGTGTGTGTGTGTGTGTGTGTGTGTGTGTGTGTGTGTACTCACCTATTTGTACTCACCTATTTGTGGTTGCAGGGGTCGAGTCACAGCTCCTGGCCCCGCCTCTTCGCTGATTGCTACTAGGTCCTCTCTCTCCCTGCCCCATGAGCTCTATCATACCTCGCCTTAAAACTATGTATGGTTCCTGCCTCCACCACATCACTTTCTAGGCTATTCCATGGCCTGACTATTCTATGACTGAAGAAATACTTCCTAACATCCCTTTGATTCATCTGAGTCTTCAACTTCCAATTGTGACCTCTTGTGTCTGTGTCCCATCTCTGGAACATCCCGTCTTTGTCCACCTCGTCTATTCCCGCGCAGTATTTTATATGTCGTTATCATGTCTCCCCTGACCCTCCTGGCCTCCAGTGTCGTCAGGCCGATTTCCCTCAACCTTTCTTCATAGGACAATCCCCGTAGCTCTGGGACTAGTCTTGTTGCAAACCTTTGCACTTTCTCTAATTTCTTGACGTGCTTGACTAGGTGTGGATCCCAAACTGGTGCTGCATACTCCAGTATGGGCCTGACGTAGATGGTGTACAGAGTCTTAAACGAATCCTTACTGAGGTATCGGAACGCTATCCGTAGGTTTGCCAGGCGCCCGTATGCTGCAGCAGTTATCTGATTGATGTGCGCCTCAGGAGATATGCTCGGTGTTATACTCACCCCCAGATCTTTTTCCTTGAGTGAGGTTTGCAGTCTTTGGCCATCTAAACTATATTGTGTCTGCGGTCTTCTTTGCCCTTCCCCAATCTTCATGACTTTGCATTTGGCAGGGTTAAATTCAAGGAGCCAGTTGCTGGACCAGGCTTGTAGCCTGTCCAGATCTCTTTGTAGTCCTGCCTGATCCTCGTCCGATTCGATTCTTCTCATTAACTTCACATCGTCTGCAAACAAGGACACTTCTGAGTCTATCCCTTCCGTTATGCCGTTCACGTATACCAAGAACAGCACAGGTCCTAGGACCTGACCCCTGTGGAACCCCCGCTTGTCACAGGCCCCACTCTGACACCTCGTCGCGTACCATGACTCGTTGTTGCCTCCCTGTCAGATATTCTCTGATCCATTGCAGTGCCTTTCCTGTTATGCGTGCCTGGTCCTCTAGCTTTTGCAGTAACCTCTTGTGAGGAACTGTGTCGAAAGCCTTCTTGCAGTCCAAAAATACGCAGTCGTATCCACCCCTCCTCTCTTGTCTTACTTCTGTCACCGTTGTCATAAAACTCTAGTAGGTTTGTGTGTGTGTGTGTGTGTGTGTGTGTGTGTGTGAGTGTGTGTGTGTGTGTGTGTGTGTGTGCGTGTGTGTGTGTATGTGAGTGTGTGTGTGTGTGTGTGTGTGTGTGTGTGTGTGTGTGTGTTTGGGTGGTGGTGCGTGTTGGTGTGTATAGGCCGGGTGTGGGTGCATGTGTTGGGCGTGTGTAATAGTGTGTGTGTGTGGGGGGAGACTGTGAGTATGAGTCCATGGTGTGTTTGTGTGAGAGTGAATACGGAGGAATTTTTGCGAGTTATACAATGTGTGTAGAATAATGTGGTAGGAGGGTGTGTCGTTCTGGGTGTGGAAATAAAGTAGGTTAACATTGTAAGAGAGACAGTGTGAGAGAAGCGAGGGAGTAAATTGCTTTACTTAAAACTGAAAAAGCAATAACGGGGATGAAGATTAGAAGAGAGAGAGAGAGAGGAGAGAGAGAGGAGAGAGAGAGAGAGAGAGAAGAGAGAGAAGAGAGAGAGAGAGAGGAGAGAGAGAGAGAGAGAGAGAGAGAGAGAGAGAGAGAGAGAGAGAGAGAGAGAGAGAGCAAGGAAGAACTGGAAAAGAACGATTTTGAACTTTTAGACTAGACATCTCACAGCAGTGTTGATCTGTTCTACTGTATAAACGTATTCAGAAAATTTAAGTTTCAATATTCCTGTAATAATATTATTCCATAGTCGAAGTGGGTTGAGAAGGAGGAGGAGGAGGAGGAAGAAGAAGAGGAAAGGAATGAGGAGGAAATGGAAGAGGTTAGGCAGTCATCCATCTGCCTTCATACTCTTGCATTATGTAAATTCTATCTATTAGTGGTTTTGGGAATTATCTACTCGAAGGCCTGGTCTCAGACTAGGCCTCCTAGATTGGGAAGGAAATATTTCAGGACTAAGACTTATTAAGAAACACACATGAAAGTTAAGGCATGTATATACCGAAAGTAAGTAGGATTTTGTAAGATTTACCTGCCATCTTACGTGTTTATGAGACGGAAAGAAAAAAA